AAATAATGTTTTATATATTTCTTCTGTGGCATGTAGAATGTACATTGTATACATCCAGGTCCACCCACAAACTATTTTGTGCACTTGTGCATAATGTTTTTGAGGGCTCTATACGAAAATCCCAATAAAATACAACTCATTACAAGCCAAAATCTTTAAATCTGTATAATTTTCAACTGCTGAAAATAGCTATTTATTTAAAAATATTTTTAAATGTTATAATCAATTATAATTTAGCCAACGAAACAAAGTTTAAGAAGTCACCTTGTTTATAAACGAATATAATATAGGTAATATATAAAGTTGAATACATTATAACAAGTGATGTGGCATATTTACAACATCATTTTACCGGTATAATTTTAATTGGGTAGGTAATTTAACACAAACTATAAATATATTATTTTACGTTAGTGTGATTGATTTAAGAGATCTAAAATATCAAAAATATTAACCTTTTTAGTGTAATGGTGCAGATCATTTTGAACATTTTAAACATTTGACATGGATGACTTGATAAGAATAGTGCAATATATTCCAAGCCAAGACTGGTGGTTAAAAGTGCAGCTACCAGCAACAGAAACCAGACCAAAACACCAACTATTGAAGTGGGAAACTGTACAATTACCTTAGTGTATATTATACCACTGAATAAAGATTTCACATTCGAAAAACCGATCAATTTCAACAATTATGATTCAAAAACAGTTCTTAGTGATTTTAACAGCTATAGTACCACATTGGGATACCTATAAGACGACCACAATGGAGAAAATTTGGAAATTTGGGCTGAAGCTTAGAGCCCGTCTCTGATTCATGACCACAAAATGTCCCCGTCTTTTAATATCGGCCAATGGAGGTAAACATTAGGAGGTAAACATTGATGATCATTAGTTTGTTAGAAAACCCTAAGCAACACTCTGGAGGAAGCAAAATATTTAGCACATTTATATTTTACATATTTTTAAAGACTATTTAATGCATGTTTATATTTATATTTTTATTTTTATTTTTAATGTAATTAGTATTTTGAAGTCCATCACAGGATACGATAAGAAAAAGACCTATATAATTGGGTAGGTAATTTAACACAAACTATAAATATAATACTATACATTAGTGTGATTGATTTAAGAAACCAAAAATATTTATCATCTTAGTCACTAAGACTAAAGTCTTAGTGTAATGGTGTAGACCATTTGAACATTTTAAACATTTGATGAATAATTTTTAGGACGTGACAGCGCCATATATCTTAAATTATAGGAATCATAACCCAAAAATAGTGAAGTCAAATAGTATTATACGGTTTGGTATTTTTAGAACTACACTTATTATTAAGGCTTTTAACAGGTTAATACCGGTTTTGTTATTAATTGGTTATATCGAAAAATTTACCTGAACGAAAACGAAAACGAAACTACAATTAATTATTTTATAGAACGAAAACGAAATGTTTAACCAGAATTATTTTTGTTTCTTGAACAAAAAAGAATAACTTTTAAATAAGAATTAGGGATTTATTATAATAATTATTAATTAGGAATTATTATTAATATTATTATGGATATCTCTTGCCATCTCGATTTTATTATATTTAAACATAAAAATTATAAAATAAAGTTAATTTTATTTGTAGTTGTATTTTTTTTCTTATAATAGTAGATAGTAAAATATACATATTATTCATATTATTAAAAAAAAAAATAACCGGTTTTTAATAACTATAAAATTTAGGATCAATTTTAACCGGTTTCTTAAACCGAAAAAAATTAAAGAATAACTAAAACCATTGACCACAAAAAATCATTTCGGTTTGAAGCCCTGCTTATTATCACAATGGTTTTTAAGAATCCAGCATAGTCTATTTATAGGACACTTTCAAATAATGAACTGACTCAGACTTCTACATAATTACGTATAAAAAGAAGCTAATTTAAGATAATATTTAAGCATAATGGTTATTTTTTTTTACAGAGTCAAATTTAAAAACAGTACATTTAAAAAAGTTTTTCAAACAGTAATTTTGAAGAAGATCCTGCAGACTTCAAAATCTATATCACGTAGTTGCATGCAGGTGCTCCTATATTCGAATATTCTGAGGTCTGTTAGAACGAAAATATGAATATTATGCTATCATTATTATTCATTACAGTATCTGTGACAAACCAATCCAGCTGTCAAAATGAAAACAAATCGGAAGAATAACAATGCACACGGCTAAAAAAAAAAACTATTATATTTTAACTATAGTATATTGTTATATATTATTTTATTACGTTCCCCACGATGCTTCTATATTTTTTTTTTTTTTTATTTATTCTTCAAGAAGATAATGGCCCCACTGAACATGTTCGTAAACAATAATATCATATATATATATGTCGTAGTATCAAATACCTATGACCTATCGTATTTATACTTTATATGCTGAAATGCGATATTTAATGTTCCCTTGAGCACAATGTTTTTTTTTGGTTTTCACATTATCTCTATATATTTTGAACAGTACCAAAATATATTGAGCTGAGTGATTATCTCAGCAACGAACTCACCTTTATGAATTTTTTAATGTTGACCTGTACATTAATTGTCCCAATATAATGTGAAGATTTTGATTTACCGATTGTATCTATATTATTCAATGTTTATTATTAATGAGTATTTCCAGTTTGAGTTCATGGAGTAGCAATAATAAAGAACAGTAACACTATGTACAAATTTCTTAGAGAACCGATCGTTGACACTAGGAATTTTCTCATATCTATACTTTAAATGCATATTGTCTATTGAAAACTTTGCTGATAAGAACTATTACTTTAAAATTTGAAATGTAGATATGTATGTAATAATATTTTCATAAGAATTTTCAAAGAAACCCATTACAAGTTACATTCTTCAATTCTTGTATAGTAATAAATCCCGAAAATTAAACATTTGAACAATAAATCAATTGATAAAAAAAAATAAAAAATTGTATTACTCCCTAATCCTGTATTAACATGTATGACTATGGGTTCCCAATTATCGAATTGGTTATACAGTTGTCTACAGGTAACAGGTATCATACAAGTTATAAATGTACTAGTTATAATGTACTTTACAGGTAACATACGATGTATAAATAAGCTTTCATAATGATAATGCAACTATGTTAAATTAACTTTTCAAATTACCTACTATGATAATAATATATTCAACCAACAATTTCCTTCCCATTTTACAGAGACTTAGGACTGTCTAGAACACCTAGGTATGATTAAAAGTGTTGCTACAGTCAGTGTATATACGCTAAATACTTACGTATTTGTCAATTCTAATAATAATAGAATAATATTGCTATAATATCAATAATATGGTATCATAATAAGTCGGTTGATTACAATAAAGGATATTTGAAAAAAGTGTATGTGGTATGAATTTACAACATATATTTTTAACGAGTTATTGTAAGATTAAAATTTGGCGGTCTTTAAATTTTTAGTATTTCCACCAATAAACTTTTCCTATTAGATATGTCTAATATTATATTTGTAAACTTTCCCAGACATTGTAAAACTTGATAATAACCAAAATAACATCGATTTATACATATGGGAATCAATTCGAACAGTTGCATAATGTATAATGATAAGTAATTTTTATTGGGAACACTTTATTTTACCTGGGAACCAATTCCGTATTACCGTTGAAACACGTTCTAGATACTTCATTTTTTATTCTTGATCATTTAAGTGGAAGAATAATTGCCAAATTATGATTGTCCAATTCAGCAGTATTATCAAAGAAAATTCTAGTAATCAAACTTCTCAGAACTCAAAACACATGTATACTTGACGTTATGAACAAATAACGAAAGATTAAACAAAACAATTTGTTAAATTATATAGCTTTGATGAAATGTATAATATTATAAACTCATATAATACCGAATTAACTAAAAAATAATATATTTAATATTTATATTGTTAATAATCTTTACATGTGTTCTAAAAGATATATAGGTAATATACTAATAATATGTAATCAAATATACGTGACTAAATTTATTTATCATGACAAAAATATTAATTATTCGACAATTCAACATACAATCTGAAATACTGTAATATCTGAAAAACTGTAAGTTTATAATGATACAAAACATATTTATGAAAAAAAAATACTCAACATAACAACATTTATACAAAGTTTGGACAGCGCAGTTCGACCCTAAGTATGCTGCATACCTACATGCGTCTCCACTCTCCATTTGACATTTATTGTTAACCGAGTACAAAACTTTTGACACATAATATACGTTAGTACGTATTATATATTATATTCAAAGTTCATCGGACAGCTATTCTTTGTGAGTACATATAGTTAATGACTTGTAACAAAGTATTAAATGAAAAATAATAATAAATCATATTGAGAAGAGTTGTGTCTTGAGTACACATCGTTATTGAATGAATAAATAAAAATAATAAACCATCTCAAGAAGAATTTGGTCTAATAAATAAATTAAATATGTATAAAAACCTTTGAACTTTTATGGTGAAATAATTAAAAGTTATTTTAAAACGTTGAATGTAGGAGTAGTTTGCATCAATAAGCAGTAAGCACATGAATGTACGATTGAGACATTTTAAAATCAAATCTCTTAATATAAATACTGTGTGGATGACGATCAAATTGTCTTATACATTTTATCACAATTATGGTGTAATTGGTAGGCTACTTAGTACTTATTTACTTTTTTAGTATCGTCCCACCACCGTTTCATATACACTGTATAGTAGCCCTAGGCCCTAGCTGCCACCAGAGTACCAGATGACCGTAAGTCGTACTCAGAAGTTTTTTTTTATATACATTGTTACGGAACAAACACCTACAAAGTAAAGTAATTTCAACAATAACAAAAATTACAAAAATGCCGAGTGAAAATGACATCGATGATACCTAACAGTCCATAAGATCGATGTCACATTCATCCGTCAAACCAAAGACAACCACCAATGAAGATAGCGCTCGGAACGGTCAACGCGTATATATACGGGTACATTTCACCGACCGAGCAACAGTACTCTTTCAACCTTCAAAACATCAAGACTTCAGAAATCAACACACTCTGCCGTCTATTGAAGGATAAGAGGAGAACGACCGACACCGAAGAGGAACGCCGCGACCGCCACAACCGGACACCGCTAGTGAAGACTGCCCCAAGCTCGACCGGTTCAGTCCAGACCATCGGACGACGACATAACCAGCCGCCGACAACGCCGACGGATCAAGACAGTGGAGCGGGGCTGACCCGATACGAAGCAGCGATACGAACTCTTGGCTACCAACCATCGTCCAAGGAGCCGACGACTATCCTCAAGTCCACCAACCAACCCGGAGTGGAGGAGTCAAAGAGGAGTCAAAGAACCACGCATCAGCCCGTATACTCGGTGGAAATTTAAACGGTCCTTTTCAGGGCCACCCACGACGCACAGTCAGTCCCCCCAAGCGCGCCTGCCTAGGCCACGCTTTCCGCCCGGGCCTAGTGATCAACGCCACTTTTTCGAGCGGGCTGATCATAGCCACCCGGGCCGTCCCGATAATGTATAATAAAAACATACTATACCCGGTTGTGTAAGACCACCTCGTACCCGTATCAGATAGTCACGGGAACGTGAGTAGTCAAAACCCTCTTATTTGTAACTATATTTTCATGTAAAATAAATTGAGTAATTACACAAGAGCCCACTTGTATAAATTATTAAAGTGACGGAGCATCGGCCTCGGTAGCTCCGTTACAACATTAACCAAATTAATAATTAATACTTCATAATGGTTACACTTACACGAACTTTAACACAAACAAGTTAGGAAAATCACTGAAGATTATTTATACGTAATTTATCAAACATCTGACATTTTATATTTGTACCTACTTGTTTTACGGATACCTATTTATGTTATGGTTTAAAAGGTAATTTCAGTACCTACTCCAGTATTGTAGTAGTAATAACCTAATCAATAAGTTACTCATTAACATTAATTTATTTAAATATTTTAAAATAAATGTGTAGGATAGGTTCACACTTAACCCTACAGTAAACCCATAACAATTAAAAGTCAACACCATACTAACAACTTTACCAACATGATAAAATAATAAAATATAAATCAACAGCTTAACTAAGTTATTACTTAGTAGGGTTAGATAAAATATCTAACCCTATATTTTATCTAACCCTTTTCAATTTATAATTAACGAATTAATAATTATATATGGCTAACTGTGTAAGATATCAAGCACAAAGAAATATCAAAAATACCAAGGTTTGAGGTCGTTTTTAAATATTGATACAATTTGCTAAAAAACCAAAAGTAACATTACTGTCCATTGAGTATAGATTGTACAATATAATATACTCGATGGATATATCATAACTGAATTATTTTTAACAATATTAAAAATGTATATTGAAGTTTAAAAAATTAAAATCGATAATTTACATTGAAATAATGGTTATATAATTATTTTTATAAACAAAATGATGTAAAATGTAACTAAAACTTCAGATTATACAATAGCCAACAGATTATATGGAACACACGAACGAATAGCTCCTGCACATGTAGCTTATATTATGTAGAAGATAAAAACAATAAAAGTCGTAAAAATTATTAAAAAATATAAAAGCGATATTTTAAATCGAACAATGTATTATGTTTAAAATCTAAACAGTTCAACAATCAAAAAACAATTCAATCAATGTTTTTCAACAATATACAAATTAAAAATCATAGCTTTACAAACAAGTATATTATTATTTATTTTTTTTAATTTAATTAAACTTATATCAAAATATATTTGAATTTAAATTGAACAATTTTATTTCGATTTCAAATCCTGAATAACACCTAAATTTTGAATTTTTAAATTTAAGTAAACTTATTATCAGATTCATACATTCTGTACGGTGTGGTGGTGGGGTTACAACCAATATGATGACCTATTGATTTGATTGATACGTTAAATTGTATGGTTAAAATATAAATCATAACTCAACTACCAACATAATTAGTTTATTTGTACTTTATGTTTAATTATATCCTTATACAGCGCTATGAATAGGCTATATGGACACATCACCTTCGTATAAGATTTTAATAACACAAAAATGGTTTATTAAAACTTCTACAGTACCTAATTATCAATAAGCATACTCTGCTGAAATGTATATTTAAACAGTGATTATAATAAGCCACTATAACCTATTAATCATATTTTTAATTATGTTAAACCTTCTTATATGTCTCAGGTCCGCAAAGTGACCTACTATCGTATACTTTTGGAATATTCACTGCACTCTAGCGGGCCAATGACACTCATCCTCGGCCCACTATTCGAAGACCAGCGCGATAAATGATACGAAAATAATTACTTGTAATATTGTAATAGGCCTACAGCCTACATAATAACAATTGATTTAATTTTTTAATTAAACTATATTTTGCTTAGAGCGTACTTTACTATTTTTTTAGACCCTATCTAGTGTATATTATTAATTATTATTACAGTAATCCAACTTTAACTTTCGCAAAGTAGGTGCATTGAAAATTGCCTATACAAAACCCCTTAGAATGCCAAAAAGGAAACAATATTTGCTTGTTTAAAACTATTTTTATATTACATTTGGTTCAGTGTCAATTTCGTTGTTGTTAGTGGGGAAATATTTTCTTTAAAATCTTTTAGGTAAATGCATGGTAATATCTACTTCCTATGTATTTAATTATTTAAAATTATATAGATAAACAATTTTTTAGTAGTAGAGAAAAATGCTAAGATGACAATAATTTTGAACGGTGTGTTTCATAAAATATATAAATATATTGTATAAATTCTTCATTCTATTTTGTTGTGTATAAATTTTTATTTTAGACTGAGTAGAGTGATTTTCAATGATTTGTGTGTTTTTTTTTTAAATTTTTTGGTGTTTGACATCATCTTGTGGAGCAATAAAAGTACTTGGATTTTCAACTACAATACCCATTCTGGTAAGAAATTAAATCTAGTTGGTAGTATTTCTTTAATCTTTTGCATGGGGGGTGGATGGGGTGTAGCTCAATAGTAAAAATTCCGCATACTTTTCTGAATAATTGGAGATAAAAATAAAAAAAGGTGGGTAAGTGGATGTCGCTCTGCTGTACAGTAGGTTACAAGTGGGTCACTGTATAATGGATGGTATTAAATTTGAATTCAATGATAAAATATCATTGTATAAGAAAAACGATTCTGAGCGAAGACGGTATGTCAGTCTAGGTTTAAGACATTATATATATATTATATCCTAGTATTATTGTATTATGTGAAACATGGCTTTTGAATGATGTTGAATTTTCTTTAAATGGTTATAAATCCATAAACTCGCTGGGAACTTTAAATAAAAGTGATGGGGTCATAATATTAATTAAAGATTCTCTAAATATTCTTCAAATTGAAAAAAATGTTATATTAAATTGTAATTCAATACATCTTAAAATCAAATCTAATGAATTATTGTTTTCTTTAATCTGTATATATAGATCGCCCAATGATAATCTTGAACATTTTATCAATAATCTAGACTTTTTCTTATCTCAAAATAAAAATAACTACTTAAATATTTTATGTGGAGATATTAATATTGATATTATGAAAATTTCCAATGTAAGCAATGATTATTTAAATGTTTTGGCTAAACATGAATATATATCATGTATAAATAATTCTACTAGAGTCACTGAATCCTCAAATACTTGCATTGATCATATATTTGTTAAAAATGTAGAATCAAATAAAATTAGTTCAAACATATTACGATGTGATATAACTGATCATTATGCTACAACACTGATGTTATCTGGCGAATTGTTTAAAGTCCAAAGTAATAGTCAAAATGTAAAATATATAAAAAAAATAAATATTGGCCTTTTAAATTAATTAATTAATTTAGAAAATTGGTGTTCCACTTTGTCTTTTGATGATGTTGATTCTATGCTCGAGGTTTTTAATTCTAAAATAAATGAATTTATTCATCATTCAACTATTTCTGTAATTAAATTGAAATCTAAAAAAATATCAAAATTAAAAGAATGGATTACAACAGGTATAATAACTTCTATAAGAAATAGGGAAAAATTGTTTTCTAAATTGAAATTGAGGCCTTTTGATACACACTTAAAACAATTCTATAATAAATATAGAAATATATTAAATGTATTAATAAGAAAAGCTAAACAATTATTTTATCAAGGTAAATTATTAAGAGCTCAGTCTGATGGTAAACAGGTATGGAATATTATTAATGAGGTTATAGGAAAATCAATTAATAATAAAACATGTGATATTAATAAAATAACAATGAAAAATGGTTGTAATACTGAATCAAAAATAGAAATTTGTAATACATTAAATGAATATTTTATTAATGTAGGAAATAATTTAGAAATATAACTCATAAATCATGTGTCTGATGACCATGAAATTATAAATGACACTATATTTTTTAATCCAATAAATAGTGATGAAATAATGTTATTCTTAAATAAAATAAAAGACTATAATTCTTTTTATGAAAATAATTTGTCTAATTACATACTAAAAAAAACATTTAAAGCCATTTCATTACCATTGTCAATTATTTTCAACAAATCTCTATCAACAGGTAAATATCCATCAAATTTCAAAAAATGTATTGTAATTCCCTTATTTAAGGCAGGTAACAAACTAGAGTGTGGCAATTATAGGCCGATATCCATATCTCTAACATTATCAAAAATTTTTGAAAAATGTTTAAAAAAAAGATTACTTGATTTTTTAAATAAAAAAAGTTTCTTTTCCAAATGTCAATTTGGCTTCAGGCCTGATTTATCTACTATAGATGCTCTTTTTAAGGTAGACAACTTTGTAAGGAATAATATTGATCATAATAATAAAGTAATGGGTATTTTTTTAGATGTACATAAAGCTTTTGATAGTGTGAATCATAAGCTACTGATGTTCAAATTAGAAAACGCAGGTATTCGTGGCTTACCATATAATTTAATTAAATCTTTCTTAGGAGACAGAACTCAAAGAGTTAAACTAAATGATACACATAGTGATATTCTGGAAGTATCTTGTGGTGTACCACAAGGCACAGTCCTAGGTCCCTTATTATTTATAATTTTTATAAAATATGATCTTCTTAAAATCAATACTAATTTAAATACTGAAATTCTAAGCTATGCTGATGATACTGCTATATTGTTATCTGAACGAACAACAGATAGTCTGTATTATGAAGTATATATAATCCTAAATAATATTTATACCTGGTTTTGCAAAAATAAATTAAAACTTAATTTGTTGAAATCCAAATACATTTTGTTTAATCCACAAAAGTACAATACTTCGAATACTAACGATTTAATAGTCCATCCACTAAAA